CATCAATTAAGGTATGAGTTTAAGCCCAAATGCATGTCCAATTCTTATCTAATCCTGCATAATCTCTTGCATGTACCTAGCATTACTAGAAATCTTATATGAGTTTCTAAATTTGCTAGTGATAACAAAGTTTACATTGAATTCAATGCTAACAAATTCTTTGTTAAATCACAGGCATCTAGTTTGGTAATACTTGAAGGGTTTCTTGATAAAAGTGGCTTGTACTTCTTGAACAATCTTACTTTTGGACCCTCACATTGTTCCTGTTCTACTAAGTCTCATAATTTGCATTATATTGTTAATAATACAATGGCTAGTCATAGAACATATAATGTTGTTTCCTCTATCAATAATGATGTTATATGGCATTATAAATTAGGGCATGTTCATTCTAAATTAGTTCATCATGTTCTTTCTTTGTGTAATATTCCTTTGAGTGATAAGAAGTATGATAGTTTGTGCAATGCTTGTTTCCTATACAAGTCTCATAGAATTCATGCTCCTCTAGCTCATACCAAATTAATAATGTGTTTGAGCTAATCTCTACTGACTTATGGGGTCTTCACCAGCTCCATCTAGTGGTGGCTACTCTTATTATGTTTCATTTATTCATGCTTATTTAAGGTACACTTAGATATTAATACTAAATAAGAAAAGAGATGCATTCAATGTCTTCAAACTCTTTCAAAGATATGTCAAAACACAATTTGATGCTCAAGTCATGACAATTCATCTAGATTTTGAAGGTGAGTTCAGATCATTCACGAAGTATCTCAATTAGCTTAGGATAATGCACAGACTTACATGTCCACACACCTCCCATCAAAATAGGACAATTGAAAGAAAGCATTGACAAATTGTGGAAATGGGACTAACTTTTCTAGCTCATGCTTCATTGCTAATAGACTTGTGGGATCATAGCTTTTCAATTGCAGTGTACCTAATCAACAAGCTTTATACACCAACTATACCTAAATTTTCATCATTATTCTTTGCCTTGCATAACAAGCTACCAGAGTATAAGATCTAAAGGTCTTCAGTTGTTCTTGTTATTCTCACTTGCGGCCATATAATCAACATAAATTGGATTTTATAAGCTTCAAATGTGTCTATTTGGGGGTTTATACAACACACAAGGGTCACAAGTGAATGGACAAGAGTGGCAAGATTTTTATCTCAAATAATGTTGTTTTCAATGAAACAGAATTTCCCTATCCTATTCTACAACTTGAGTCAGTCACATCTCCTTCAAACCATGACAAACATATATCTCCCTTACCTATACCTTTATGTCCTAACTCCCAACAAAACTTTACCGGTCACACACAACCTGCCATGACACCAAATATTGCTCATAAGTCACATCACATAGATTCAAGGTCTCAACATGAGTCAACCAACTCCCATCATGTTAAACATGTATCAAATCCCTCTTATTAGGCTTTACCAACACTTCGCAACAATGAACATACTTTATCAACTAGACATAACTCAACCTGCTTAGCCTGACGCAAGTACTATAAACTCAGGTCATAATTCGGCCCATACTCATAGCAACTTTGGTTCTAAGAGTAACTCGTCTTACAATGCATCTTAAGAAAGTACAGGTTTTATGTAAGTAGAGTTGCACCTAAGAGGGGGTGAATTAGGTACTAAAAACTTTTTCCGGTCTTTATGTAGATTTCTTGTTTTACATTCCTAACAGTTACTAATTGTTTAATGCAGTAAAAGCGAAAAGTAAAGAGACACAGCGATGTATCCTGGGTCCTCTCACAATCTGAGAGTACTCCAGTCCTCTTTCAACACAAAAGAGATTTTTCAATATTGTTAGATCCTAAGACAAAACTTCTACCTAGTCTTTCTTATACAGGCTTTAACCAATCAAAACACCAAGAACAATCCTCTTGAATTTTTATCACTAAGTCTAATGAGAACAATCCTCTCAAAATGGACATCTTGCTTCCAACAATCCTGGACAGCAAGGTTACAACCTTACAAACTTATTTCCAACAATCCTGAAAAAATAAGATGTATTAAAAAACAAATAATTCTGATTTGAGTGATTTTGCAGCAGTATTCGATTATCAATCTTGCGACCGATCTTCTTCTTGAGATATCAACTCTTATATACCAAATACAAGTGTTCAAGAAATAGAGGAATGAAACTTTGATAAAATAATGAATTTTGAGGTGCAGTAATTTCACTCTTGAAATTTGAGAATTTTTTACACTTGTGGAAATTTGGAATTTGAGAGATGAAATGAAATTTGAATTTTTGCAAGAAGGTTAATCTTAAAGTCTGAGATTATGAGGTATATTATTGCCTTTAAACACCTTTTCAAAAGAGTGCAAATGATCAAGAGTTGCCATGGTTCAAGAAGAATTGAGAAAACAGAATGCTGCCAACAGATGCAATTTTCTGGCTCATATTGCCAGTAGTAATTGGTTACCATATGTGGGTAATCGGTTACCAGTCTCAACGTTTAAAAAAAATTGAAAGTTAACACAGGGTAACCGATAACCAGGAATAGGTAACCGGTTACTCAAAACAGGTTTTGCTAAAAAAACACTTTGAAATAGAGGCAAAATGCATTGTAAGAGTTTTAAATAGATTTTAAAAATGATATGCAAGAATGAGAGATGAAGTTGAACACTTGTATAAGCTATATATAAGCTATATTTATTTGACATTGAAGTTCTTCAAACTTGATTTCTTTAAGAATCTTTTATCCATCCTTATATGTTGTAGAGTGTGTCGTCGTCAAAATCGTTTGAGAAGTCGTGTCTTCACACTTTACTCCTCAATACATGTCTCACACTATAAAGTCCTTATCACCTTAATATCATAGCCAACCCTCACACTCACCTCTCTTAGTCAACGATCATCATATGCTAACAAGAGCCAAGGCATGTCAAAGCCAAAAGCATTTCTCATGCACTCTGAACCTACCAATACCAAACATGCCTTTATCTCACCTGAATGCTTTAATGCTCTACAATCTGAGTACAACTCTCTTCTAAAGAATGAAACACAAACCTCGACTCCTCTTCCACCAAACAGACAATCAATTGGAAGTATGTAGGTATTCAAGATAATAGAAAATCCAGATGGTAGCATTAATAAGAAAAGGGAAAGGCTTGTAGCAAAAGGATTCCATCAACAAGAAGGTTTGGTTTTCATGAGACCTTTTCTTTTGTAGTCAAGCATACTACTATCAAGGTCATCAGGTCCTTAGCTCTTACCTACAAGTGGTAGATTTAACATATTGATATTAATAATGACTTCTTGAATGGAGATCTTCAAGAGGAAAGGTATATGCAACATCCTCCTGGCTCTGTGGATATCAATATTTCACTTGTTTGCAAATTGGAAAAAGCATTTTATAGTCTTAAGCAAGCACTTGGGGTTTGGTATGAAAAGATTTATCAAGCATTGATCCACTTTGGTTTTTCCTCCGACAAATGTGACCACTCACCATTTATCAACATCGTGACACAACCTTATATGTTTTAGTGTATGTGGATGACATTTTATTCAGAGGCACCTCTTTCAAATTAACTCATAACCTTATCTCTAAATTTCATCTCAAATTTTCTCTCAAGAAACTTGGCAAACCAAAGTACATCCTTAGCATTAAAGCACAAGAGTAACCCAATGGTGTCTACATTCCCATGTTCAACCACAACAAACTGAGTAAGTATGGCATAGATCTCCTACTTAATCCTTTACTTTACTGATCAACTGTTGGAGCCCTCCAATATGTAATCTTAAGATGATCTTACATAACATTTTGTGTCAATAAGGTCTGTTAATTCATGGCTCAACTATTAGAATCCCATTAGAATGCAGTAAACCATATTTTTTTCATATCTTAGTGGCATTGCATCCCATGGTCCACTTCTCAAACTGGGCCACTGATTCGGATGACAAATGATCTACAACGGGATACTATGTGTAACTTAGCTATAATCTTATCTCTAGAGCTCAAAGAAACAGTCATTGGTTGGTTGCTCAAGAACTAAAGGGAAGTATTACGCGTTAACCCACATAACTTTTGAGTTATTATGGTTAGAGTCTCTATTAACTTAGTTGTATGTCTAGTATCTAGTTCGAACTCTCCTCTACGACAATGTCAATGAAATCATGGTGTCTCATAATCAATGTAGGAACTAAGCACATTGAATTAGATATTTATTTTGTGCGCGAAAGAGTTGCATCCAATAAACTTAAGGTCCAACATATCTCAAGGACTAAGGTCCAACATATCTCAAGGACTGCACAAATTGCAGATGCACTCACCAAACATCTCTCTCATGTCATGTTTCAAGCATTCCGGCTCAAGCTCAAGGTTGTGCTCAAACTCAACGATGAACACTCTCGTGTCATGTTTCAAGCATTCCAGCTCAAGCTCAAGGTTGCGCTCAAAGTCAACCATGAACACGTGAGGGGTTTTGGGAGTAATATACATAGCAAGCACTTGATGCAATTAGAAAAATGAGATAAGTTAGTTAAAGGTGGTTAAGAGAGCCAATTATAATAACTAACTAACTTTTGCATGGTCTAACTAACTATCAAAGCTTACATAGCAACTATTTATAGCACGCACCCTCTCTTATATAATGTAATGAACTATACACAATAAAAAATCTTATGTATTACAATGTACATGTAAAAATTATGAACAACTAGATGTAACAATTGTTTCTCTTCATGGAGAGTTTGACAAGAGATATATAAGATCAAAGTTGAAGACTTTTAAATTACAAGATAAAGAAAACATTTTTTTGTAGACCGGCCAAATATCTATAGGTCCTAAAGCAAGACCTCATATGTTGTACCTCAAATAAGATTCTTTCATCATTAGTCTTGATAACCACATAATGAGTTCATACCATTGTACTATGTACTAGTAAAAAACAAGTTGGATGATGGTGATTTTTATAAAAGTAATTAATTCAAAATCAATTTTTGTCAATGTTGAACCAAACACATGTTATAGTCAATGATTGTTATTACAAGGAAAACATCCACATGAGTTGTACCTAGAAAATTGTGAATTATGCTTATGAATAATCTTTTTAGCATGTTGAGTTGATTTTTCCATTTGTTCCAAGTGCTGCTGTCTAGCTGTTTCTCTCCATTCCTCAGCTTTCCTGTGAACCACTGACATCCTCTTCATCAACTTCTCTTCTAAGTTTGATTTCATCTTTTGGATTTTCACCTATATAAAATCCAAGCATGCTTAATCAATTTCAATGACTCAACTTTGAAATTTAAAAACTTTCTTGGAATGTGTAGTACTCTTTTCTTAATCAAATTTGTTGTTTTCAATGACTTTGAAGACTTTGTAACATTTTATAGTGTACTAACATAGTTTTCAACTTGGATTTTGTTTTTAATTGCATTATTCTATGGTATGAATAAAATAGTAGATTGATTCCCTAGACCCAAAAATAGTTCACATGTGCTTTTTCAATATAAGTTAAGAAACATTATTATTTATGGGATATTAAGCGTTTTGTATACTAGTATGAAACTAGAGAAGCATGGTGAGGAAAAGTGATGTGGACTATTGTATTGTCCGGTCAAGAAAATAATAATGAATATGGTTTCCATGACTAGGGGGTGGCTCGAGGTATTAAGCCAACAATACCCCATGTGCATCACAGAAAAAACTGCCATCTAGAAAGAACAAGATTCTCTACATCAATGACCTATTCGCGCGGATGCGCGAATGTATCTAGGTGGATGAGGTAACTGAGATAGTTGAATTCAATAGTTGTAAGTTGTTGGTTCAGAATTCAATAAATTCGACAAGTTTACAAGGAAAATAGATATGACAAAGAAATACCTCAAGCTTTCTTGACCTAGCTTCTGCTTTAGCATTTTGGAGGTTAATCCAAGCTTGGATTTTTGCTTCTTCTCTTTGATACCTGCATCAATGCAATTCACAATTTAGTTCTAGCCAATCCATATAAGATGATAGCACGAAAACTATCAGACCGACGAGACTTCTAACTCAAGGTTTAACCACTTTAAATCACTCGCATTGGGACAAAACTATGATCAAACCACTCAAATAAGCTAATCATAGCAAATGTGATTCATAGTACCATCTGACTGAGCCGTCTTAAGTTTTCAAAGACCTGTTTAGTGACGCGACTTGCACGTACTCAAAGACTGCAATCTAGTTCGATTTTTAAAACATTGATAGTAAGGTTTAGTTATACCTAAGACAACACTTATTCTTCTCCTCTTCTTCCCAAGTAGAAGCAACACAATCAGAATCAGCTTTCAAGCTAGCATTATGTCTCAAACTTTTCGATATCTCCTTCTCTTCCTCTTCACTTGAACTCCAATTCGGCGCAACCAAATCATACTTGGCTGTTCCAAATTGCAGTTTATCAAAATGACACTCTTCCAGCTTAATACCATCCACACTGCAACCATTGCCATCGACATCATCCAACGCCAACGGTCCTGATCTACTAGCCGGAGTGTTATGCCGCGCAGGGGAGGAACTCTTGAACGGCGTATGACATCGCGAAGTCGTCGAACTTCCTAACGGAGTCATCTCCGTGCCAACATCCTTGTGTTTAACCTCATGAATAACTTCAGTGTATGCAGCATCATTCATTGATTCATCAAAAGCTTTGTTTTTAAACAAGAAGCCTTCTTTTGTTGGTTCTGAATAGATGAATTTCGGTAAAACCGGTTCTATGCTGTCTGTGAACTTGTCTACATTGCAAAAAAGTTGAGAAAAGCTTAGAATTCAATTAAGGCAAAAAGAAGAGAGAAAAAAAAAGCAGAAAGTGTAGTTTGAGAAAAAGCTTATATGAAAGTGAAGTAACCTTTTAGAACTATGTCTGTTGGATAAGAGATTCCATTGAAAGCTTTATTGTGGTCCAAAGTTGAAGAAGAACTTTGACATTTAGTAACAACTTTTGAAACCTTTTCTTCCATTTTCTGCTTAAAGCTATTACTATTATTATTATCACATTGTTTGGTTCCAATGTTTGAGGAATCTGAAGAAACAGCTTTAAGGCTATTGTTGCTGTTGTTGTGAGCTGGTGAGTCATGACAGGAAGTGCTTATGAGCCATTTTTCAGCATCATCCCACTTGGAAGGAAAACTCTTTCTTGGAAGATTGTTTCTTCCAACAATGGAAGATGAAGAAGAGCTGAAGCTGAAGAGCGGTCTACCAGGTGTTGAAGGAGCTTCTAGTTTTCTCAACTGTGTTGAAGAATCATTGCTGAATCTTGTGTTTTCTGCATTTGGTTTTGGTAATGGGAAAGATTTGACAAACTCAGAGGTTTCTCTTAGGTTAAGCTTGCAAAGTGGATCAATGAAATCATCAACAAAAGGGTTGTTGTTGGTGTAATAGTCTTTGTTCTTTGCATACATGTTTTTGTTTTCAGAGAAAAAAAGATGGTTAAGAAAAGGAAGAAAAAAGAGATTGTTTATTGAAGAAGTAGTAGTGGTACCAAGAAAGAAGAAGGTTGTTGAGAGAGTCTATGGCTAGGGAGGTCCATGGCCTTATTTTTGGGGTCACTGTTTTCTATGGAGGGAACTTACTTTGACTAGTCTGGTTGCTTCAGTTATCTCCATTTCTTAATAACATTTAGCAAAATATAAATATAATTTCTTTTTATAGATAAATAATTTCGAGTTCCAAAATGAAAATGTTAATGGATTAAATGTCTGAATTCAAAAAACCTTGACGTGATATATTTTTTGTAGTTATTTAGTCATGCTGTTACTAAAAAAAGATATTATAATTTATGTTGCTGAATTTTATAGAGTTCTATAAACAAATATTATCATTGTGTTCCATTAGTATTTTTAATAAAAAAATAATAAATATGAAATATTAGTATTTTTTAATAACAAAATAAATATGTGAAATATTTGTATTTTTTATTTTTATAAAAAAATATAAATATTTTAAAAAATAAAATGTTAATGAAAAAATTTAAGACCCGCAGAGATACGTGAAGAGTCGAGATTCGTGGGGAACGGAGATGGAGATAGAAACTCTATGTGACGGGAATAGGAGACGGAGAATGAATTTAATGGCGCGGACAAAGATAAGATATGTCCCTTACCCCGTCCCATCCCATTGACATCTCTATCTCTTATAAATCCAACATTTATTTTATTTTTAATCTATGAGAAACTTTATTATCCACACATCAATGATAAATTTAAACAAATCTTAAAGATTGATTTTTATTTTAATTTAATACTTTTTGAATTGGTGTCTGATAGGGGTGAGCAAGGGACGGGTCGGAATGAGTTATGACTAACCCTAACCCTGTCCCAAATTTTGATCGGATTATTTTAGTGACCCTAACCCGTACTTGAACCCGTAAAAATCCCGATAATATGTCATCACCTTTTTATTTTCTCTAAAACATACTAAGAAGATGTAAAATAAAAAAACATGATGTAAGAGAACAGATGTGTACTTAGTATTTACTTAGTACATATATTAAATTATATATTAAATTATGACGTGAAAAGTGGAAAATTCTATTGAAAATTTAGAATAATCTAAATATATTAATAAATTAAATAAATAAATAAATAGTATCACATGTTTATTCATAATATTAGGACGAATCGGATAACCCGAGGGTCAACCCGAATCCATCCCACCTATATTGGGTTGGGACGGGTCTTTAGGTTGAGTTGGATTCTGCTCACTCCTAGTGTCTGACATCAATACAACATTTATATCATATGTGTTACTTCCTCTATTCTAAAATAAGAGTCTTTTTAACTAAAAAAATTTGTTCAAAAATAAAAATTATGATTAATTTTTAACAATTTTATTCCTAATAAATAAATATTATCTACATTAACTTTAAGACATATAACATTATATTATGCCTTTATGACTATTAGTAATAATTAAAGACAATTTTATAAAATTGTTACACTTAATTATTTAGTTATTACTTTTTTCAATTTATGTCCAATAAATTATTAAAAAAAACTTTTATTTTAAAATGGAGGAAGTATAAAAACACATATCTTCATTTGATGTGAATATTAGGATGATGTATGAAGTTTGGGTGGTGAGTGAGTGAAACAAGATGAGGAAAAAAAGAACATAGACATAGTTAGAAGCAGAGTAATAAAATGAGTCACATGTAAAGGGACAAAGAAACAGTGGTATTTAGATTTACTTTGTCTTCTCGAGGACAAGGATTGGATTGGATGAGAAACAAGACGAAATTGTACATCATCAAAAGAAGAGAGGATCTTTTTTTTGTACAAATCATTTTTCTTTTTCTTGCAACAATATGTGAAACAGCAGCATACCATAGATTTGGATGCCTGTCAATGTCCTAAACTAATATAGGTAACACACAACTTACAAATCTCAAAATTCAAAATTTGAGGAGCTACAAAAATGCTAAATAAATATTCTCTCTCCGTCCGAAAAAGATTTTTGTATACAAATTAAAAAATATAATGATATTGTCAATAATTTTCACCTAAATAATACTGCATTTTATCATTTATTATATTGTAAAATAAACAAAATTGCATATCCTATTTTTTAAGTTTAACTATTTTTGTATTATTTATTTTTATATTTCCACTCGTAGACTTTTTAACATATTATATATATTAGCACTCGTAATTTTTTTGGTTGGAATAGGTAAATCATCATTGAATTTAGTGAATTTTTAGTTTTTATAATCTTCTAATGTTAAAAAAAAAATTGATATTCATTTAAATTTTTAAGAAAATTTGCTCAAAACAAATAAATTTTCTGCAAATTTTAATGTTAAGGACAAATTTATTAGAACAATTTACTTGTATAAGCCTATTCTTTTTAACAAGTTACCCTTTTAATATTTTAATATTAAAATAATTCACATAGACAAGACTTATGTTCATAGAGTTAAAGTTACTAGTTGAAGTTACAGAAAAAAAAAATAAAGTTTTGCTTTTAAAAATTTAAGTCACTAATTTTTAATAGTTCTTTTGTAATTTTTTTTTAATAATTTTTAGCGTCGGTAAAAAATTTTGCTAAAAAGGTAAAAGTCGACACTAACACGAGTTAGCGTCAGAGTCGGGCGGACAGTCTAAAGATGGTAGCAAAGCATAACCATGGATCATCGCTATTGTTAGTGTCAACTTTGGGAATGCTATGGTTATGCTAAAGTACAAAAATTGATGCTATATTGTAAATTTTTTATCTATAACGTCGACTATGATCGACGTAACTTTCATAAAGTGGCGGTTTAAGGTGACACTTAATTATTATTTCCATGCCTTAGCATCGGTTCTAGGCGACAAACATGTATGAATGTGGTCATGTTGCGTCCTCTTTAAAGACATTAGTTTTAGCTTTATTGAATAATAGAGTTGTTAATAACCGACGCTATTTTCCAGTAATCATTTCTTATAGCGTTGTTGAAGACCGACGCTAATTTGTAAAAATTTTATTTATGGCGTCGGCTTTTATCGACGTAAAGTTTACATAGCGACTACTTAAGGTGACATTTACTTATGCTTTTCACTGCAATAGCGTCGGTTCTAGGCAACACTATTGTCTGAATATGGCCACGTTGTGTCTTTTTTTGGAGACACTAGTTGTAGCTTTATTGAATAATAGAGTTGCTAATAACTGACGTTATATTCCATGTATTATAGCGTCGCACAAAGCCGTTGCTAGTGTTTTTATTCCAGGGGGCGGGGGCGGGGGGTTATTTATTTATATTTAAACCTTTTTCAAACCAAATCTATTTAAATTTGTTTCAAATTATTCATTGATATACTATCACATTAAAATTCCAACACAAGATAACAAACTTGTGTAAATCCATGATATTGCTATATTAATTAAGACGTCAAAGTTACATTAAAATATTGACATAAAGATGTCAAAGTTACATCAAAATAACAACAAAAAATATTTCTACATCCACAAGTCAAAGTTACATCAAAATACCAACACAAAGATGTCAAAACGTCAAAATACCAACACAAAATATCAAACTTGTGAAAATCCATAATAATTTGAACAAGTTCTAAACTAAGATAAAGACAATGCACATGACTCAACATTCATCACTCATTTCATCTAGATCCAATGACTGTTCATCTAAGTCATCATCGTAATGGCCATAAGTGTTAGAATCGACACTAGAAGGAGGAATGGAAGAACCCGCCTGACTCGACTTCCAAGCAAACATCTCTTTCTAAAAGTTTTCAAATTGCCTTTTCAAAGTTGTTATCTCGGCTTTAGCTTCGGCAACCTCTTCATGTGCTCTAGCAACCTCAACTTTAGTTGCATGAATGGCTTGGCTCTCCGCTTCTCTATTCGGGTTTGAAACGGTTAATTATGTCAAGTAAGACACTCCACATTGTATGTTAACTGTCAATCGGGCAGTGTAACACCGGCCCCGTGACTTATCGCCGACAACTTTTTTCCATAATTGTAGTTTTTCTGACCCATCCAAATTATTATCATTTTGTGTGGCTTGTGTCAAACAATTCACATAATCTCCCTACATATTTGAGTTTAATTCATAAATAAATATCACAATTAATTATTATTTTTTGCATCATACCATAAATTTTCGTTTAAATCATAAAACATACATTTATTTTTAATAAAGTCCATAAAAAATCAATTTTATTTCCTTTACACATCATCATCTTAATACCATGTTATAATTCATGCTTTCATTTTCATGATCATTGTCTCATCATCAAGCCATCATGTCATACTCCATTACCATGCTCATTAGACCTACAAAACCATATTTCATCATAAAAATCTAATATGACATGAACATAAGCATACTAACATGATAATCAAGCATTGTGGGGACAAAACTTTACAGCAAAACATCACTAGTTTTAGCCATAATATGCAAACATGCATCAAAGTTCAACTTGGGACGATGTGGTTTTCATAAACCAAAACCACTTCCAAAACCACTTCAAACAAACACAAAACCATAACTAACTTGCAAACTCATTTCAGTAGAAAATTAACTTCAACAAACACACTTAGATGCAATCCTAACCCTTGATTAAATATTTTTTCACATGAATCACTAATTGGTGCAATCCTAACCGTTTTTCATTTTCATTTTTCACATTCTAACTCCCTCCAAAATTCACCATCACATTTCACACAAATTTGAATTCATTCATATTCATCTTAGCCTATTTAAATAGCACCATATCATCCACCAAATGGATTAAAAAAATTAGTGATTTAGTTCGATTTGAAATCGACTTTTGAATTTTTTTAGATCTTGAATTTGATCTTGGGATCGAGGAAGAGGAAGTTGCAAGGAGTTCGAATCTGTAAAGAAAAATGGAAAACTTACCTCATCGGAGCTTCGTCGGAGCCTCGTCGAAATCTGGGTTTT